ACCCAAACCATCGTGGCTCTTTTTGTTAGTCACGTATAATATCAGTTCGATGTTGTTGCAGCATGTGTGACCGTCTTTTACGAGATGGCCTCGCTGTACTTCACTCAGTGACCCATTATGACGCAATATGCTGCCTGTACTAAGGCCTTGACGTCACGGGACGTGAGCTTGACGGGCGAACGCCCAAGGCCACGAGCACGTCGCCAGAACTCTTGAACGTTGTTTAAACACCCTCCGGTCATGCACCCCGCCGTGGCCCATAACGCTTACTACTTTTACCGTCTCCTTTGCCCCACATATGTTCTGCTTCGAACGCTGGTTGAGAACCGGCAGTTTTCATTCACCATTCACACACATTGACATAGGCCAACTGAACTACAGTCCGGTTTCCGCAGGTCTTGGTTGTGATCGACATCTCAAGACGTGTTTCTAAGCGCCTTCGGAGGCACGTAAGAATACAAAAAGCATTTTCCGAACATTTTTCCTTCCCAGTAATCCGCGACAATTCTCCAAGTAGGCTTATTGTTTTTAGCATAAGTAGTGCCGTCCTGATTGTTTAAGTCTGACAGTCATATTTAGCTGTCTCGTATACACAGAATTTCAACAGTAATCGTTGTTGCTGATTTCGTCTCAAAGCCGACCTGCATCGGGCATAACAACTGAAGACCGTTGGAAAATTAACTTCCACGGAGTGGTAATCTCCTGGTCATTAAACTTTCGTTGATTCCTCGCCGGAGGCCGGTCAGCCGTTTTACGAGGTCGTTCCTGATGGCAAAAGCGACCCTGGCGTCTAGTCATTCCGACTTCGAACGTTCGCTCCTGAAGGTGTATCCGGCGCCCTCTTCATTTGGTTTATATTCGCAGAAAACTGTTTCGCTGCGAACTGCTTTGTCAATTTTGGGCGGGCCACTAGAGCGAAGGTTATTGGGTTATTATACTTTTCGACCGCATATTTAGCGGCTACAACCAGTTTGCTGGCAGCATATCTTATCAACATCTTTAGATTCCATTTTCCAGCCCCGTCCCCACGAAACGGTAGCTGGTTCAAGTCCTTCCAAATGGTTGTCGAAATTAACTGGTGGGTCACGACTTTGATGCAGTGT